TGACCCCAAGTCGATGATGACTGTCGGATGAAGCCCATCCAGGTGACTCACATTTTTATTACAGTGATTCAACTTCAGCTTCAAACAAAAAGGGCTTTATTTCTTTTTCTTTTCTTTTTTCTTGAGCTTATTTGCTGTGCCCGCCCTTGAAGGCTGGGCTGGCTCTGAGCAGACGTAGCCACTCTAAACAGAAGGGCAAGTGACACCACAGCGGGCAGCTTCTTACCCTCTCTCCAGGGGCCTCATTACAACTCAAAGTCCCTTAAGGTGTCTACATCTGTGCTGTAAGATCACACTCGGAAGGAAGGAGTGAGCCCTGGGAACGTCGGGCTATTTTAACAGCACAGGATTAGGATAGAATACAATCTGAGACTTACATACTTCTGTTCTTCATTTTAAATATCTGAGGCCCAAACCAAATAATTCATAGAAGCATCTTACTATTTGGAATGCTAACCAATTTTTAAGTTTTTTTGGAGACTTTTCCCTTTTCCACGTTCCACTGCCCACATTTTAGACAGACAATTCTCAAACAACACTCATGTGTTTACAAATTAGTAACATTCTATTTTAAACACAACTTTTTTCATTAACGGACTGGGATTAAGTTCTCCACTATTTCTTCCCTACAATTTTCTGTCAACAGCTTTGAACTGTTAGCAATTTTTATTTCTAATTTTCAGAACTTACATGGAAAAATACCTGGCCAGCATGGCAAAGCCCACCTCCATCAAAAAATACAAAAATTAGCCAGGCATGGTAGTGTGCACCTATAGTTCCAGCAACTAGGGAGGCTGAGGCAAGTGAATCGCTTGAACCAGGAGGCAGAGGTTGCAGTGAGCCCAGATTGCACCACTACACTCCAGCCTGGATGACAGAGTGACACTTTTGAAAAGAACTTATATGGGAAGAAATGCCAGACTTAACACTACCTTTTTTTTTTTTTTTTTTTGAGTTAGTGTCTCGCTCAGCCTGGAATGCAGTGGTGCCGTCATGACTTACTGCAGTCTCGCCCTCCCAGGTTCAAGCAATCCTCCCACTTCGGCCTCCTAAGGGATTACAGATGGGTGCCACTGTGCCCAGCTAATTTTTTAATATTTTGTAGAGATGGAGGTCTCTCTCTGTTGCCCACGCTGGTCTGGAATTCCTGAGTTCTAGCGATCCTTCCACCTCGGCCTTCCAAAGTGCTGGAATTACAGGCATGAGCCACCTGGCCTCCTTTAAAAGTCATTCAAATATACTACATTTAAAACTTTCCTATGAAAGGAAATCATTCCACCAGGCGCAGTGGCTCATGCCTGTAATCCCAGCATTTTGGGAGGCCAAGGCAGGCAGATCACCTAAGGTCAGGAGTTCAAGACCAGCCTGGCCAACATGGCAAAACCCCGTCTCTTCTAAAATTATAAAAATTAGCCAGGTATCATGCTGCACACCTGTAATCCCAGCTACCCAGGAGGCTGAGGCAGAAGGGAATCAGCTGAGCCTGGGAGGCAGAGGTTGCAATGAGCCAAGATCCCCCCACTGCACTCCAGCCTGGGTGACAGAGCAGTCTCAATTTAAAAAAAAAAAAAAATCCAGCATTTCGGGAGGCAGAGGCGGGAAGATCATGAGGTCAAGAAATTGAGACCATCCTGGCCCACCTGGTGAAACCCCGTCTGTCTAAAAAATACAAAAACTAGCTGGGTGTGGTGGCATGCACCTGTAGTCCCAGCTTCTTGGGAGGCTGAGGCAGGAGAATTGCTTGAACCTCGAAGGCAGAGGTTGCAGTGAGCCAAGACTGCACCACTGCACTCCAGCCTGGCGCCTGGGGACGGAACAAGACTCTGTGTCAAAAAAAAAAAAGGAAATCATTCCTCCATTTTCTTGTTGTTTTAAATAGGATATATTTTCAATAGGATTTTAAATAGAATAAATTTTTATCCTGTTTAAAACTATAAGAAAATAGAAGAACAATTCTATTCATCTTAATTTTTACAAACAATGGTTTTATTAGCAATATTAATAAACCCCATGCTGATATACGCTAAATATATTCTACAATAGGTTGATTTTGCCTTGCCAATACAATTCTTTCCAACCCAAAGATGTCACACACCTGGGCTACCTGGACTATGCATCTGAATCACTATGAGACGACGTTCCTGTTCTTTCACCGCTTGTTGACGGGCAGGTCTGTGAATGATAACATTGCCCCCAGGAGAGGGAAGCATGGGAGATTTCCGACCATGAGCCGCTCATGACACCATCCCAGCGGTCCTGCCATCGCTGAAGACAGCAGTAAGAGTGTGACTCCCTGCAGCCTGGAAACGCCTCTGCCCAGGGAAGTAGCTCTATCATCAGACAACCCAAAAATCAAAGGAACATGGCGCTGCAGTCAGGAGTTACAAGCTCAGCCTAAGTGGTGCCACCCTGTCCCCGGGCAGCCCAGCATCTGTTTTCCCGAGCACAGACACTGTTGTTACCCTGAGACAGCAGGGGGACCCTGGGCAGAAGCAGCCCCGGAGCAGCTCCAAGTCCTCTTCCTCTCATCTTCATTTTAAAGATGAGGAAACGAGAATCTCAGATGGAAATGAATGCATGACGTGGCCAAGGTCACCCCACAGCATCTGCCAGGGCTACTGTGACAGCCAGAGGCCCAAGCTCCACCCTGGGCACATGGAATCCAAACAAGGCACCCTCAAGGCCAAGCCATGATGGAAACCACAATGCAGCTTTGGGTTCCTCATCGTCCACAGGAACTTCTCTCCCCAGCAGACATCGTAAGTGGTGGAATCTAATGATGGATTCTGTCCACACTTTTCCCAAGGGGTGTCAATGACCTGTCCAGCACTAGCACAGCCTGACAAGTGATGGGGCGGCCGTTCTCAAGCACTTGAGGCCCTGTGGGCAGAAGAGGCTCGTTCTTTGGTGTAGTTCCTTGGAACAGTGGTTCTCAATGCAGGTACCCAGGGGTGCTTTGAGACCCCGGGGGGCATATTTGGTGGTCAGGATTAAGAGAGTACTGGAATTTGGCCGGCGGAGGTGAGGGAGGTTGCATCCCTCAGTGATTAAGACAGTCTCGCCCGGCAAAAACTCTTCACACACAAAACTTACGATGAACCAGAACTTCACGAGTGGAAAACATGCTTCTAACTCTCTGATCCCAGAATCTCACTCTATTCAACATTTACGCACTAAACATTTTTGCATGGTTTTACCATGACTTGAATTTTCCACGCATTCAACTATTACAAAAGTCTAGAAAAAATTATACTTTGCTTTACTTGAAACTTCACTAGGAGCTGCTCGCCATTGTGTAATATTCCATCACCAGCTGGGGTCTGAACTCACAGAGTCACACAGGTCAGCCTGCAGGGACCGCCCCCCCCATCAGCAGGACGCAACACAACAGATGGGAGGTCCGGCTTTTTCACAGCCGACCATCACCATGTTGAAATGTGTTATATGATTACACTGCTATCACATTTATCCTCTGTAACTGGGGCAGTCTATTAAGTTATATTTTCTTTTTTTTTTTTTTTTTTTAAGACATAAACGTTATTTTCTAAACACTACATTTTAGAGTAAGAGGACATTACCAAAAAAACTATCCTAAAAAAAAGGCATTGGGTCCAACAGCTTTGCACACCCGACCTGAGAGCCCCACAGCATCCCTGCAGAGGACACGGTCGGCACACACCTGCTGGGAGGACACACGTGGGTGACAGCATCGCCAGGGTGAAGGCCCCATCTCAGAAGAACACAGATGATCCCCACCTCCTGCCTGCTGAGATGCCAACTCCACCACTAGATCCCTGCACAGAGGACACAGTCAACACACACCTGCTGGGAGGACACACGTGGGTGACAGCATCGCCAGGGTGAAGGCCCCATCTCAGAGGAACACAGACGATCCCCACCTCCCGCCTGCGAACTGAGATGCCAACTCCACCACTAGCAGCGGAGCTTGGTGGAGGGCCAGGTAGCATTTCCAAAACCCCGGCATGCCTAAGAGTTCAAAGAGGCACCACTGCTTCCGCCAGCGTGGCAGCCATCATCTGGAGCTGCTCCCAGACAAGCCATGACAAGCTGCCACCTCGGTACTAGGGTATATTCATGAACATCCCAAACCTAGCCAGCTCAGGAGCCCCTGCTCTCCCTCCCCACACTCCCCGGGGAGGTCTACAAAGCCCCTAACCCAGCACCAGCCACCAGCACACACAGTCCTTCCAGGCTTGCTGTGGCTCCCATTCCTCAGCGTTCACATGTCTCCTGACCCCCCGCCATCCCACCGTGCTCTCTCCTCGCAGACACACCAGGCAGCAGGTTGCAGCTGGGCCGGGGAACCTGAAGAGAGCAGCTCTTAGTCAAAAGGCCGTCATCAGGCACAAAGCCATGCGGCGTCTATTGCCTTAGGCAGGACTTCCTTCTGGCCGGGTGTGCGGAAGGCTAGCGACACCAGTGCCCGGGCTTCAGCACAAGCTGCCCACCGGAGTGTCTGATACGAAGCCTCGAATGAGCGGAGGCCCAGGCTAGTCCGAGACCTTCTAAGACACTAAAGGTTCTATTAAGACAGCACTTCAACTACCACACGGCTTCTAAGATTAGACTCCACTTTTTAAAAATAAGCACAGTAAAAACTGCAGGCTTGAATGGAAAGTGGATCTATTCACGTGAAATGTATAAACACCACATACAAAGAAAAACAGATCTGAAGACGGGCCAGGTAGAGAAGGAAAAAGGAAAGCAGCACATGTACACCTTCTAAGATTTGGGGGTAAGTTCTAACGGAAAGACGCATCAGTCTGGGGTAAGCGGAAAGGAAAGTTCAGGTCGTCCTGGCACAATGCCAGGTATTCGGGTTTGGTCTAAGTAAAGTCAGCTTTACCTAGAAACTGCTGAGACTGAGGCAGACACCTCGCATCTCCAGCCAGTAAGCAACTACACCGCAGGCCTGGGCGAGGAGGTGACGCGCTTCTCCCCAGGCGACCCGAAGGCCCGGCACCCGGGTCTGTTCTTACCATCGCACTTTGTTGCACGTCTGCGTTGCCCCGAGAGGGGAGCCGGCCACCATGGGCACCTGGATGGGGCTGTGCTGCTTGTTGGTGACCAAGTCCAGCTTTTCTTCTAAGGATTTACACGTAGCCTCCAGCGCCTGCAGCTTGGCCTCAATGCTGTCCAGCCGCAAGCAGATTGTCTGGTTGATGGAATACAGGAATGACTGAAAGTGGAGAAAGACCAGCTTTAGAAAGGGTCTCCTGAACCGCGAGAAGACAATCCCAAGAAACACCGAACACTGCTTTCCTGATTTCAACTCTTACCTACTCGGACAGATCAATGCCCACGATGGAACTAGCTTGTTAGCTACGAGCCAGAAACAGCTGAGTAAAAGTTCACATGTGACATACGAGTCATATTTCCTGTTTAAAATGTGATGACTTAATCACTGTTTTACTTCTATGAGCAGTTGCAATTTTTAGTTATGCCCATATAATAAAAGTATGCAGTTTAATATATTATTAATCAGTAAATTTACACATACAACTAATCAAACCTTCTCAACAATAAAAACAGACCACATCTAACATCAAAACAGCATAAAAGCCACAGGCCATGCACATTCACATCACACCAGCTGCCTAATCTGAAGGTGACTGGACCCTGATGGCCCTGACTCGGGGATTTGGTCACAAGGCTCCGTGGGGCTCGAGCAGCAAGCATGCCACCTAGCGGTTGGCAGAGCCAGGCTCCACGTCTGACCTTTCCAGCTGAGTGTCCTCCGGATTCCTCACTCCAAGTAACCACAGGGAGCAGTGATATGCCGGACTCCAAACCCAAGAAACAGAGCAAACACACAAACCAGAAAGGGAAGAACTTCATTTCCCCAGCTGCCATCCCAGCCAGGAGCCACCACAAACACACATGGAACGTCTTAATCACATATAGGAACTGCACCGTGCAAAAGAGACACCCTCCACCAGGTCTCACCAGCAGACGAAAGGACGCTCCTTCGTGTCTAGGGAGGGGCAGGCTGGGGAACACCTACCAGTCCTGCTTAGTAGTCAGGAGGGCTGGTACCTGCTTTAAGAATCAATAGCTGAAAACTGCCCATGATTTAGAGTGTGGGGCCCAAAGTGGAGCCATCAGAAAGAAGGGGGAGGTAGGTTCAGGACAGCAGGGGCGGCACACAGCAGCCACTGAGAGCTGGCTGTGGGGCCTGCAGCACAGGGGCGCGGGAGGCAGCCCACAGTGGAGCTGGAACGGCTTCCCACTAACTGCGGCTGACCTGCTGCACTGCTGCCAGCCCACTCTCCTTTCCGATCTCAAGGGAACCTGCAGAATATCAAGATTACAGCGCTAACACACATCATGTCGCTGGCATCGAAACCTGGTGCATAGTGGCAGGGACAGCACTGCAGGAGGGGCAATCCAGCTCACCTTCGTCTCAGGCCACCACCTCTCCTGCTAAGACTCAGCACGAGGGCGCCAATACAGAAAGGAGCTAAAGAAACCAACTGCAATTCACCCTCCTTGACTGACTACTCTGTGCTGTAAAATGTGACTCTGAAGCCGTGTGTGGGAGGGAAGGAGGCATGGCATCAGGGGGACCCGAGCCCACGTGATGATGCTCAGTCAGCTTATCTACAAAGAAGGCAAGGTCCATGGCGTGACAAATATGCTCGTCTTGAAAAGCAACAATCGCTGGCTGAATCCCTGAACGGCCACCGATAACTCCACTATTGTCAACAACCTGAAGGTATCAAATGTGTGGCTCTCCAATTCTTTAAGCAGTACACCCACATTATTTTAATTCTGAATTACAAATGACTCTGCTTGGGGTTTGGGTGAAAATCCCTCTTACATACTAATAAAACAACCTAGAGCCATGCACACAACTCCATCCATATGGCAGGATTCAACCGGGGGCCCAACTTCTTCTCAACAGTGGGCCAAGGATGACGACACGGCCACTTCCAGGCCCACTTCACATATTTCCGTGCTGTGTGTAGTAAGTGTGTCTTCTGTGATAAAACACCAACTGCATGTTATTTACGGAATAAGGCAGTGTTTACTAACAGAGCCACGTTCTGTCCATTGGTCGGAAATGGCATTTTACTGTGAATGTATTTTAAGTTTCTCATACACATTACACTGCTTTTCCTTGTTAACAAAACAAATAAAACATTACCCAATAGACACCGTGTATAAGTAGAGGAATTACATGAAAAGTGACTTTGGTTTTGTGTTGCGCTCATAGACTTCTCACATGTGCTGATATTTACCTCTGTGACTCTGCAAACACCAGAACCAATCAAATTCAAAGATCCAAAAATAATTCACTGAGCAGTACCCAAGAACCCTCTAATAAACTTTAGAATTTAGGTGACTCAAATGACAGGCACAGAAGTCATTCATCGCTGGCAGAAAATACAGCCACATAAGTTCACCTTCCTGCCATCCAAAATGGGCCTGCGGGAGTGTGGGAAGATGCCTCATTCGGCAGCATCTCCAGGCTAATGATTCTTACTCTTCGTGCTCTTCAAGAGAAAAAATGGCTCCCACTGTTCTGTAGCGTGCTGCCTGGTGACTCCCAAAAATGACATGCCCACGTCCTAACCCCAGAATGCACCCATGTGGCCGCGCTGGGAAAGGGTCTGTGCAGATGTAATTTAGTCAGTGAGGTCAGCCTGGACTAGTGTGGCCCTTCAATCCAATGACAAGTCCTTTCTAGAGGAGAGAAAGGGAGACAGACACACAGGCGGCAGCCATATGAAGAGGGGGGCAGAGCTTGGGGTGAGCCCACAAGCTGAGGGAGGGCCACAGCCACTAGAAGCTGGAAGAAGCAGGAAGGATCCACCTTCTAGAACCTTTGGAGGGAGCGAGACCCTGCCCACACCTTGGTTTTGGATTTCTGGCCCCTGAAATGAGAGGCTCCACTTTTAAGCCATCCTGTGTATGGTAATTTGTTACAGCAGCCCTAGAAATCTCCGATGCACTATACATCACAGAACAGAGTAAGAGTTTTACCTTTATAGAGGGATCCTGGCAATTGATTTCTAGTCGCTGGCGTTTCAAAGCAGGTTCGTCTTCATCTGTCACTACATGATTCTCCAAAACAACTGAAATCAGTGACAGAGAAAAAATGTTTAACATCAAAAGTTTTACGGAATTATTTTAACATTAAGACAGTAAACAGCGCTGACACCTTAAGGTTGAATGAGAAATAGCAGAATCTATTTCATATTCTATCTGCAACTGCAAATAAGTACATTTTTAAAAATTGACTGGGTCTAGGGAAAAGGACTGGAAGGGTCACAGACAGACAGAAACGTGGTTTGCCGAGATGAGGCAAATGGGGCCGATTCCGGTCGCTGATTTTGAGGTTATCTCTGACATTGTTTTTGTAGTCAAGCTGAGACAAGAGGAAGGTCGGGACCACACTGAGGCCGCCCCAAGCCAGGGCTGAGTTGCTTATCCCGTGGGAAGCCGTGAAGATCCCCTGACACCTGCTGTGTGATGGGGACAGCTGAACTTATTCTCAGTCAGGCAGAAAACAGAATAACTCCTTCATCCCCAGAAAAGCCCAGACACTGGGTAATTATTTCCCTAATGTGCCACTGAGTCAATCCTAGCCCCAAAACCACAAGCTTCTCACTCAGTGCTCTGTGAGGCTGCCCTGTTTGGTTTGATAAAACCCAATCAATAATGATTTCTTCCCAACTTTAAAATAAAATGTTAGCTACCTTATTCCAAAATCAAAATCACTCTATCCGCAGGTCCAGAACTAAAAGGGGAGGAAAAAACCCACTGAGTATCACATTGTCATAGGTGCTGATCATCAAAACAGTCTCAACCTTAATACACCAAGTGACAGAACCCTCCCCCACCACCCCAGCCCCGGGTCCGCGTCCCTCCCAGGCGCAGCTGAGACCAGCTGCCCCCATCACACAGCAAGTGGGATCTTCAAGGCTTCCCACAGGACGAGCAACTCAGCCCCATCTCGGGGCAGCCACAGTGTGGTCCTGACCTCCTTCCTCTTGTCTAAAACTGACTGCAAAAACAATGTCGGAGATAACCTCAAAATCAGACCAAAACTGGCCACAGTTCCCCCTCTCGGCAAACCACGTTTCTGTTTGTCTGTGACCCTTCCAGTCCTTTTCCCTAGACCCAGTCAGTTTTTAAAAATTTACTTATTTGCAGTTACAGACAGAATTTTAAGGTCAACAGTTCTTGTTAAAGATTGCAGATTGTGCCATGAGTATTTTTCCTTCTCATTCTCTTGTCTGCCTGAACTGAGCGTGAACTGTCTGGTGCACTCCTCCCAGCGCGCTCTACCCTGCACGCTCACACGTGTGGCAGGAGGGAGACCGTCCACCTCATCAGCAGCCCTCCTCTCCACGGAGCACCAAGTATGGACTCCGGGTTCACAGTCATCGCTTTTGGTTTTTCTTTTTATTTTTTGAGAAATGAGGCCTCGCTCACTATGTCACCCGGGTTGGACTCAAGTTCCTGCACTCAAGGGATCCTCCCACCTCAGCCTCCTGAGTACCTGGGACTTGCTAGTAATAGCTTTCATTAAGTTTTTAACAGTAATGCCAGTTTGTTACTCCATTCTACAAAAATGAATGCCAGTATATGAGAACAGATGTTATACACATGCCTACGTATGAGTCTACTGTAGCACTTCTGGTAGAAAAAAATCAGAAATCTGAATGCTGGCCCTTCAGCACATGCGCACCTTGACACACCATCTGCCTGCGTTCAAGGGCACCCACACCACAGCCAAGCAGGATGACCTCACTGTGGCCAGAGGACACTTGCCCGCTCTGCCAGTACTGACTGTGTCCCAGCCCTTCCCACACCACCAACCTCCAGCCACCTCCACCAGGGAAATCAAACCACCTTCTGTCCAGCCCCACTCAAATGTCACCTGTTCAGGAAGCCTCAACTCACACCTGTCTATACTGTGACACCCAACAAGGTCACGGCACCCACCCCAGGGCAGACCACCCTCTCAGCCTGACCTTACACACAGACTGCCCACAGATGTGGGTGAAGCACTCCTGCCAGGCATTCTGATTCTCCAAATGCTGAAGGAGGGCTGGAGGGGAAAGTCCAAGAGGAAAGCCGAGTGCACACGCCTCTCTAGACCCTGCCTCCACCTCAGTCAAAGCAACTCCCCCGGACATGTTACACAGGTTGATTTTCTGAAGAAGATCTCGACTGGAAAATAAAAGAGAGCGCCCATGCCTTTAAGCCTATACACACTAGATGATTCATCTCAAAACTCCAAAACTTAAAACTGCTGAATGCTCCCATGGTTCTAACGGGAACCTCTCACAGGTCCGAGACAAAAGCAGTCACATCTCATCTACCCGGCGGGAAATTATCCAAAGCCAAAGACCACTGTCGACTCCCAAGCAGCATGCAGCGTGCCAAGGGCTCTGCCTTCCGCCCGGCAAATCCCGAGGCAGGAAGTGCGTCAACCATCTCCACTGAGGCCTTTGCAGATGAATTCTCACTTAACAAAACTTTTACAACTCCATGCCTACAAGTGCCTGTGGCTAGTCAAAGGTTCTCAGGACCTCAATCAAAGGCTCTTTACTCTCAGTGGAAACTGGGCATCAAACTAAGCTTGGAAGAAGAGAGAGAGACCCTCCCAGGAGTTACTCTAATGTTCTAATTTGCCGAGGGGAAAACAAGTCCAGCAAGGTTACGGAACCTCTCTGGGGTCAGAGAGCTAGTTTCATCGTAACGGCAGATGAAAGTAATGACCCAGTAATGACCCCACAGGTATTTGGACAGTAAGTGACATTTTCTTCTCTGTACTTTGCTGCTTTTTGTATGTGTTTCTTTTTATAATTTTGCATGCATTACTTTTAGAATTAGACAAAAGAATTACTTGTTCATTTTAAAGATATCACAACCAGGCCACGCGCAGTGGCTGTCGTCTGCAATCCCAGCACTTTGGGAGGCCGAGGTGGATCACCTGAGGTCAGGAGTTCGAGACCAGCCTAGCCAACATGGTGAAACCCCATCTCTACTGAAAATATAAAAATTAGCTGGGTGCAGTGGTACGCGCCTGTAACCCCAGCTACTTGGAAAGCTGAGTCAGGGGAATCACTTGAATGCAGGAGACGGAGGTTGCAGTGAGCCGAGATCGTGCCACTGCACTCCAGCCTGTAGACAGAGCAAGACTGTCTCCAATCAATCAATCAATAAAGATATCAAATCAACTGTAATGACAGGCCCGATGCAAGTCACAATTTTTACATTCTGACAGGCAGAGTAAGCACAAGCCACAGTCACTACACACCAAGTCAGAAGATCCCAGAATTCTTTCTTTTAAATAAAAATAAGGAAAAATTGGAAAGACACACACACCAACAATTTAGAAGCTGCTACATCCAGGAGGATCACGGAAACTTTTTATTTATTCTACGTTCTTGACTATCCCGCTAAATTTCATTAGATGTACACTTTCGAGGTGAGGAAAGTACTTTAAACCCACTATGGATGCAAACATTTGTGATACACCAAGGTATCTGCAGCTCTGTGCCTTCTCCTGGGTCACAGAGAGCAGGTTTGTATTGGGGCAGGCCTCAGAGCTCTGCACACAGTAGGCTTTTAGCAAATTCTTAAGAAATTGTAGTTCTCAGGCATGTAAGGAACAGAGATAGAACAACATCAAGATTAGAAATTATTTCTCTAAGCTTTTTGGGGCCACAGCCTACAAAGAGATAATTTATTGGGGAAGTAGGCTGTCAGAATTTTAATGGTCTGAAATCACTTACGATGTATGTAATTGGAACACTTCTCTTTTATAAGACTACAGTGCATGTTTTCTAAAGAAACTGTCATTTGCCTTCTAAACTAGAAACAGGAATTTTAAAAATTATTATGTGCAGTGATCCTATGGAAAACGAACCACAGCACTCCTGAAGCGCTGCCTTCACATTCCCCCAGGGCTGCTCGCTTCATTCCAAAACTATTTCTCTCACTCACCCCTTCCACACTACAACTAGTCTCAAAGGTAGTTTCCTCCATTCACACAGCAAATAGATCATACAAACGGACATCAGACTTTCTCATAATGTTTCTGCAAATTCTTTCTTCTGGAGGAATAACTGTCAGTATTTGGATTCTAACATTCCCGAGAGAATGAGCAGGCACCCGAAACGCTCAGTGACTTAACTGTGGCGGGCTGCTGACGTCAAACCAGACAGAACGATAAAACGTACTGCTAGATAGCGGAAAAAAAGGAAGGATCTTTCTAAACAGTGAAGTGTGGACAGTGTTCTCACAGACAAAGAGATGAAGTTGCTGAAATTGAGGGTTCCATTTCTCCAAACTATCCTTAAAACAAACATTTTGTTATGATTTCAAAGTAGACATGTGCCTTTACCATCATTTTTAAAAATTATCAGCCTTAGCAAAGGTGCAGAAAAAACTCGTTCTCAAGTATTGTCAGTGGAAGAGTAAATTAGTAAAACATTTCTGTTTTCTGAAAACCTGTGTCTTATCAAAATATTAAACATACACAGCAATTCTACTTCTGGGAACTCATCTATCTGCCAGGATGTATACATGCAAAGGTCTTCTCCACAGGATTGTGCGTAAAGGAAAAATCAGACAGACTCTGCCAGGAGCCCTGAGAAAGGGAAGAGTCAACGGGGAGGGGCACCTGTGAGGGAATACTACGGAGCTGTGAAAGAGCACAGACTCACACACACAACACGGTAAGGCTCTGTGACGCTGCACACGGGATCACACACAAACACGGTAAGACTCCAGAATGCTGCACACGGGACCTCACACACACAACACGGTAAGGCTCCAGAATGCTGCACATGGGATCACACACACACACAACATGGTACGGCTCCAGAACGCTGCACACAGGGGATCACATACAACACGGTAAGGCTCCAGAACACTGCGCACGGGATCACACACACACACAACACGGTAAGACTCCATGACGCTGCACACAGGAACACACACACACAACACGGTAAGGCTCCAGAATGCTGCATACAGGGGATCACACACAACACGGTAAGGCTCCAGAATGCTGCACACAGGACCTCACACACACAACACGGTAAGGCTCCAGAATGCTGCACACG